AGGAGTGTGAAAAAAATCGAGTTCCGTTTCGGGTAGTTATGCAGGCAATCTAATTACGCATTTTCATGTACGTGTACGTACATGTACGTATATCGAAAACAAAGAATTATATTCAAGTTACCTTGATAATCCAACATAACAATAATTTCCATTACAACTAATGGGTTTGCGTTCTCCTGACAAATCATTAACGTTAGCGTTAGGATCGATATGCGTTTTTGATGTATTGTTTGAGGGTGATTCTAAAAGTTCCGATCTATAAACAATACTCACGTCTCATTCAATTTTTTGCGCGGGAACTACAATTTTCCAATTCCCTCCAAAGAATTTCGAAAATATTCCAAGGGAATCGATACGGGGAATGCACCTTCGAACGCTTCGTTATTGACATCGGCAACCGAATCAAATAAATCGGGCGTGTTCTGAGATTCGTCATTACCGCTACGAAATACTAGATCAATATATGTTTTACTGAATTCAGGTTTGACAATTAATTGTATTCCGTATAATTTAGGAACGATCTTTACTCTAAACTCGAAGGTTGTTTTAGTACTTTTATTGTGAATTCGAATTTGCCGAATGGAAAACGTTGAGAAAGTTCTTCAGATGATAAAACGTTTTCCAATAGTTTCTCATTGATTGATACGTTAACCCCCGGGTATAAAGAGTTTGGTTGAGATCTTTAATAATGTTGGGTGTCAACATCATTTCATTTTTCATTTTCATTTTCATTGATAATTGGAATTGTTGTAGAAGATTTATCTTGAGATAAATAATATTGAATGCCAATCCAAAAAGATAGCAAAGTAACGTTAAATCCTTTAATTCCATAATTTATGCGCTTAATTTGTCCATGAAAATTCAATCTTAAACAGTCCACAATAGGATTTCCAAATTCATTCCTAAATAAAAATCCTTTTTTAAACACTTCATTTAGTCATAAATCTCCCGATTCTTTAATATTATTGAACGTCTCGACGCGTGATTTTCCAAAAGACAAACGATTATCTGTAGATAATAGTCCTTTAAGAAAAATAGATTAGAAATCGAACGATAGATACTTGATTGTTAATAATAAGCCCCAAAGAAACCGATGTAAAATACTAACCTTAGAATTAGCGTAGTAATTCAGTCCTGTATATATATAGAGGTGCTTTCGAGCCTTCGTAGAAACATGCTTTGAT